GAAATCAGGAACCTCAGCTACTTCAAAACAGCTGTTCAGAAATCAATGAGTGACGTCATAGACACTGTCGTTGTTATACAGTCAATCATCATAATACATGCAGTAATGTGCGCAGCATATTGACACAAAGGTATCAGTCATCGGCTCAGACTTGACTTAGTGGGCGGGCCAAAACACATTGATTGACAGGTTGGGCTCCCAAAGGAAAGGCAATGACAATGAGTCTCATAAGGGAAAAGCAAAAGCAAATTTGTATATTTATTATTTAATTCATTTATTCTTTCATTCTTATTTTCTTGTTTTATTAATTCATTAATTCTTGCATATCTTTCCACATTTATTTATTTATTATTTTATTCATTCATTATTTCTTTTTTATATTTCCACATGTATTTATTTATTCTTTTATTAATTTATTGATTGTTCTGGCACTTTAGATGCTCCCAAGATGTGAATTTGCAGAGGAGAAACCAGAGTCATAGTTTGGAGAGCTTTGAAGACAAACTGAAATTCTCCAGGAATCTGTTTAAACCAGCGAGCTCCAACATCAGTAACAGTCTCCAGGTTCCAGTCCATGGTGGCTGTCCTTTCTCCTTTCCTCAGATTATGTAAATAAACCCCTAATAATAACATTAAGTGCAAAACATTTTTTTTTCTGGTTTCAAGACTTCATTAAAGCTATTAAAATGGTATGTTCTGTGGTGAACTTCTGAAACATGTCATCAGTTCAGAATCATGATTACCAGCAATTTTCATGAAAATTTGAAAATTCATGAAGTACCAAGATATAAAAATGTTGCTGAGTCTGTTTTATGAGCGGTTAAAAAGGCCCTGAGTCTCCAGCATTAGTGTTAAGTTAAAAGAGAGTGTAAACACAAATGTTTATTGCTGCATTTTATTATCCCTAAAGATTATCTGTAAACTATCCACTGACATAGGCAGCACAGTGAATTTAAATTTTTAGAAGGTTATATTTTATAACCTTGATTTTGTGGGTTTAGTTAATATCGATTTACCAAACCCAGATGATGTGTTTTTGGACTCATCTTTGTTTATATGTGTTTAATGTTCTCGACTCAAGGTCCTCTCTGGTCCTACTGATTGATATGAATATTTGCCCGATATATTTGTACCCAAGGTCAAGAATGAATCTCTATGATTAACTTTGTCTGTTACATATTGGTGTTTTGTCACTGTGCTTTCCAGTCCAAATGAGAATAACAAAACAAAAAGCAAACAACATCTAATATGTAATTTAATTACTTATACTGTTCAGTGGTGGAAAAAATATTTATATGAAATTGGTATTTCAAAAAAAGATTGAGGAAACTGGCTTGTACTAATTTTAATGTCTCCAGTGGGCTAGTAGGAGAGCATTAGTTGATGTGTGAAAGACTCAAAAAGCAGAAGTATTTGTGAGGAGGTTTTTGTCACAGAGTAAATCACTGTGATACTTCCTCCTTAGCAGAGCTGTCCCATGTTTGACAGTAATAGACTGCTGAGTCTCCCTCTTCCACGTTGTTGATGATCAAACGATAATCTGATTGAGACTGATGAGTAGATGTGAACTTGGGAGATGAGAAACCAGAGCCATAGGTTGGAGAGCTTGAGCTGTGATAAAACCTCAGTACATACTGAGGAACTCCTCCAGGAATCTGTTTATACCAGCGAGCTCCACTGTTAGTAACAGTCCCCAGGTTACAGTCCATGGTGGCTGTCTCTCCTTTCCTCAGCGTCACAACAGGAGGCTTCTGTGTCACCACCGTCACACCACTCACACCTGGAAACAACAAGATGACATGGAGTCAAGAGAAACACACAGACTGATGAATCCAACATGAGGTCAAAGCTGCAGTAAGTCAGCCTCCTTACATGTTAGAGCAGTGATGAGAGTGCAGAGGGTCCCCAGCATGGTGTCAGTGTGTGCTGAGAATGGCCTTGTAACTTGGAAAGTGAGCTTACTGCTGACAGATTAGAGGGTTTGGAGGATGAGGAGAGGAGGTGCTGGAGGAGCAATTTAATACAACACTGAAACTGAGAGTGACTGACAGGAGGAGGAGCTTTGCTCACATCTGCATGATTTGTCACATTTCTTGTGTATTTTCTTTCTCATTAATTGTCAATGTAGGCCATGTCTCTCCCGAACCCAACATATTACAACATCGAGAATTTGTTTCTTTCCTAAAAAATGATTCATAAATGTGAAATGAGATAGTATTTGAATGGGTATATTTGGGGGGGGTTTTGTTGGAATTACACATATATTATTTTCACAAGAAACATCTATACTGCAGGATATATTCTTTGGCTCTGCACACATGAGCATAATTCACACACATTAGAGATAAACTGGGTACCCAAGGGTTTGGAAGATGAAGAGAGGAGGTGCTGGAGGAGCAATTTAATACAACACTGAAACTGAGAGTGACTGACAGGAGGAGGAGCTTTGCTTACGTCTGCAAAGGGAAAAGTCTTTTCTTTATTATTGTCAAAGTAGATGAAAACCTTTTATTAGTACAGTGGAACAATATCTGGTTTATTGCATTTGTTTCTAAATTATAACCTCCAGTGTAAAACAGCAGGTTTTCATTTCATCAACCCATTGTGATACCATTGTGTCGTACAGTGTTGTTAAAATGGCTTAATTTTTTTTTTATTTTGGTTGTGGCTGAGAGGAACAAGTTTTGTTTTCCAAAATTCATCAAGATGTCAGAAACGGGTTTCCTTCAGTCTTGCTTATGGTTCAGTTTGACATTCTACTTTAATAGGTAGGCCAATCAGGATATTACAGAGGAAAATGTTTTAAACATAAAGCTGTACTGTCTTGAACCAATTTCTTATAGATGCATTTTAAAAGACAGTGCTGACAGCACCAATAACACATATTTAGCTGGTTTAAATCAATTGTATTTTGTCATGTTTTACTGAGACCCCAAAAAGAAGTAATGAGTCATTTTCTGTGTAAAACCTGTGAAACATGTCATCAGTTCAAAATCATGTTCATCAATTTTTATAAAATTAGTAAAAGTTATGAAGTACTTGTGATACTTCATGACTACAAGCTGATAATTAATTGTTAAATCTGTTTACGAGCTGTTGAAGAGGCCCTGAGTCTCCAACATTAGTGTTAAACTATAAGACAGGCAACATGTGAAATGTTTATCATTTGTTACTTACTTGTTTTTGATTTAATCAATGTTAATTTTGAAGTATAAAATGATGAGATGACGTGTTTATGAACCTAATGATCAACATGAATATTTAACACGTATATTTGTCCCCATGGACAAGAATGAGTCTCTATGATTATCTTTGTTTATCACTCATTGGTGCTTTTTTACTGTACTGATCCAGTGCAAATGAAAAGAACACAATACAAACCTGAAAACAAAAAAGGACTTATTCTTCTACTGTTATTGCTCATGTTGGGTATTAGAGAGCAATATTTCATGTGTCAAAGACTCAAAAAGCAGAAGTAGTTAGTGAGGAGGTTTTTGTCACAGTGTAAATCACTGTGATACACGCTCCTTAGCAGAGTTGTCCCATGTATCACAGTAATAGACAGCAGAGTCTCCTGCCTCTGACCGCTTAATGATGAACTGGTAATCTATGTTTGATGAGGATTTAGAGTTGAATCGGTCTGAGGAGAATCCTGATCCAAAGCTGGGTGAACTGTGACTATGGTAAAATCTCAGGACATACTGAGGAGCTTCACCAGGAACCTGTTTATACCAATTGACATAATATCCATCATCTCTCCGAATGTTGCAGTTGAGAACAACCTCTTGTCCTGTAGAAACTGTGTGGACAGCAGGCGTCTGGGTCAGCACCTTCACTGCATCAACATCTGTCAACATACACAGAAAAATACATGAGTGAAAGGTTTCTGTGTGAAAATATGGGCTATAAAAAGGAATGAGAAGAATCTCTTACATGTTAGAGCAGTGATGAGAGTGCAGAGGATCCCCAGCATGGTGTCAGTGTGTGGTGTAAACGTCCCTTACTGTCCAGCTGAGAGGTGAGCAGGGTTGGAGTGTGAGGAGAAGAGAGACTGAAGCTTATAAAGACACTGAGGAGAGGAGAAGTGGAGGAAGAGGAGGAGTTTCTACACCCAACACTGTTTTCATTCATGAATCCAGATGTGTCTTCACGTTAATTATTTCTTTGTTGGATTTTTCTAAAAAAGAACTGATCACACTGCTCCTTCATTTGTTTATAGTTAAATGTTACATTGGACTCATCTGGTTGTAAATGAGTTCAGTAAACGGGAGTGAATCATGAGGAAACATGGTGTGAATGCAGATATTTATTTCATTCTTCAGTTTTACACTTTTTAAAGTTATCATGTTTAACGTTTATCCAGTTTATTCTGAAGAATCTTTTGGAAACATAAATCTCAGAATCTAGATGATCTGTCACATTTTATTTGATCAGATTTCAGCTGTGTGCAAGAGAGCAGGCTGTTTTTATAATATTTGTGTAAGTAAGTGATCTTTTTGTTGTTACTGTTGCCTTTTGAGCCCTGTTGGTGTCCTTTTCATCAATAGCCTTAAACATGCTAGGTTATTATGTTTGTTAAAGATATTTCTTAGGGGGCTAAATTGATGTTACAGGGAAAGGTAAGACAGGTCTAGCTTGGAGTCATTAGCTGACCCCACAAGTGTTCACTGACCTTCCAGCTCTAATTATTTCTCTCATATAACTGTCCTTGTTAAGGACACAGTTAGACTGGTAAGGTAGAGACAGTAGCTCAGGCGTCAGGCTAGCAGATACCAGTGTTCTCTGGGAATCTTAGAAGGTTGGATCTTACAAGAATGTTTCCAAGACCTTACTGGCTCCACAGATTAGAGTTCAACTCATGGATAGTAAAATATTTCAATATGACGTAGCATTGGAATCTAAACATCAGACAGACTGACTGGCACTATGTAGACAGTGTTGGATGTGGTTTGAAGGACACACAATGTGTCTTCATTTGAACCAATAAACAATAGTCTCTCGAGGGATGAACAGTAACTTTATTTGGACACCTAATGAATCTCTGGAGGTCTAGGAAGGATGAATATCCTCAGACAGGAAGCATACTTCAGATTTGGTGTGGGCAATGCATGTTTTAACACGTTGGATGCTGACACTGTATCTCCTCTGTCGGGCTCAATAAAAAATGCTACAGTATGTTAAGTCATCATCAGTCTTCTTCATCACACCTGAACCTGGCTCATTATATTTCTTCAACAAATGTTAGCAAGAAATCAATTAGGGATGATCACATACTAAACATAATTTAATCTGTTTTCAGGTTAATTTTTTCTTTCAGTTGTATATTACACCAAGTGTAAACAGTGTTCTGTAATAAACAGTGTGTAGAGTTTTTCTAACTGTTTATCTCTCATCTCAGCTTTATCGCCTTCCCATTAACTTGCTCTCACTGAAGTAACATGCTCCATATTAATGAAAACTCCAGCGTTTCATTCACTGGAAACACAACATGAATCACTAAATCTATATGACATGTTCTCATTGGAGGTGTAGCATTTTCATTCAGTTGTGTTTCTGCTGTAGAAGACTTAACTTTCAGTGTTCATAACTTTTGGTTGCCAGATGATCTTTGGTCCTGTTCATGAAGAAGGAAAAATGCAACAGGATTTATATTTTTTTACAAGTGTTTGTGTAACAATCATCACTACATGTGCACTTGACAGCTTGTATGAAGACATACTGTATTTATTACATCTGAATTTAGATCAACAAAAGGGCATCTGCTGCAAACTTTTTAAACGCTGTATGATGAGTGGCAAGAGACACAAAATTTAGTAAAAACAATGAGTTTCATAGATGACAACTTGTGTATTAGTGGTTTATATTTACTAGTAAGCATATAGGCTGTTTTTGTATTAAAGCATGTACACATGAGACGATGTATTTGCCACTTGGAAAACTGGTAAACACAGTAGGCCTATACTGCCACTAGGAAAGATCTGAGAATTTATTTGAGAATCGGATAAAAGAAGTTATCTTCACTCCCAGTCAATGTGTATCAGCAGGTCAAAAAGCAGAAGTGTTTGTGAGGAGGTTTTTGTCACAGTGTAAATCACTGTGATGCGTACTCTTTCACAGAGCTGTCCCATGTTTTACAGTAATAGATTGCTGAGTCTCCCTCCTCCACGTTGTTGATGATCAAACGATAATCTGATTGAGACTGATGAGTAGATGTGAACTTGGGAGATGAGAAACCAGAGCCATATTCTGGAGAGCTCAAACTTCGATAAAAAAATAAGACAAACTGTGGAACTCCTCCAGGAATCTGTTTATACCAACGAGCTCCACTTTCAGTAACAGTCCCCAGGTTACAGTCCATGGTGGCTGTCTCTCCTTTCCTTAGCATCACAACAGGAGGCTTCTGTGTCACCACCGTCACACCACTCACACCTGGAAACAACAAGATGACATGGAGTCAAGAGAAACACAGACTGATGAATCCAACATGAGGTCAAAGCTGCAGTAAGTCAGCCTCCTTACATGTTAGAGCAGTGATGAGAGTGCAGAGGATCCCCAGCATGGTGTCAGTGTGTGGTGTAAACGTCCCTTACTGTCCAGCTGAGAGGTGAGCAGGGTTGGAGTGTGAGGAGAAGAGAGACTGAAGCTTATAAAGACACTGAGGAGAGGAGAAGTGGAGGAGGAGGAGTTTCCACACCCAAAACTGATTTCATTCACAAATCCAGTTGTGTTTTCACATTAATTTTCTCTTTGTTGGATTTTTCTATAAAGAACTGATCACACTAAAAATACTCCTTCATTTGTTTATAGTTTAATTTTAAATTGGACTCATCTTGCTTTAAATAAGTCCAGTAAACAGGAGTGAATCATGAGGAAACCTGGTGTGAATGCAGATATTTACTTCAGGATTCAGGTTTCCACTTTTTAAATTCTGTTCCAATAAAATCTAGGTTATTATGTTTAATGTTCATCCAGTTTATTCTGATGAATCTTTTGGAAACATAAATCTCAGAATCTAGATGATCTGTCTGGTGAGTTTAGTATTTGATCATATTTCAGCTTCAGACTGTTTTTACAATATTTGTGTAAATAAATGAAGTTGTGCTGTTGCTGTCCTTTTCATCAATATTAGCCTTAATATAAGGATTAAGGTCATTAGCTGACACCACAACTGTGTGTTCACTGACCTTCCAGCTCTAGTTCTTTCTCCCATGTAACTGTCCTTGACAGGGAGACAGATGTCAGGCTTGCAGATATCAGTGTTCTCTGGGAATCTTACAAGGTTGAATCTTACAAGAATGTTTCCAAGACCTTACTGGCTCCACAGATTAGAGTTCAACTCACGGGTAGTAATAGATTTCTATGTGACATAGTATTGGAATCTAAACATCAGAAGACTGACTGGCACTATGTAGAAAGTGTTGCATGTGGCTTGAAGGACACACAACGTGTCTTCATTTGAACTAATAACCAAAAGACTCAAACATGTTTAGCGCGATGAACAATTACCTTATTTTGACAGTGAATCTCTGTAGGTCCAGGAAGGATAAATTTCCCCAGACAGGAAGCATACTTCAGATTTGGTGTGGGCATTGCATGTGATTACACGCTGGATGCTGACACTGTATCTCCATTGTTGGGATCAATAAACCATGTTATGTTAAGTAAGTCTTCATCAGTCTCCCTTCATCACAGCTGAACCTGGCTCACAATATTTCTAATAACAAATGTTAGCAAGAAAACAATTAGAAATGATCAAACACTAAATATAATTTCATCTGTTTTTGGGTTCATGTTTTCTTTCAGCTGTACATTACAGTAAGTGTAAACAGTGTTCTATAATAAACAGCGTGTAGAGTTTATGTAACTGTTTATCTCTCATCTCAGTTTTATCACCTTTCCATTAACTTGCTCTCACTGAAGTAGCATGCTCCATATTAATGAAAACTCCAGCTTTTCATTCATTGGAAACACAACATGAATCACTAAATCTATATGACATGTTGTCAGGTAAATGCGTTTTCATTTGGTTGTGTTTCTGTTGTAGAAGACTTAACTTTCAGTCTTTTGGTTGCCAGATGATTTGGTCATCATGATTTTGGTCCTCTTCATAAAGAAGGAAAAATGAAACTGGATTTATGATAAAAGTTTGTGTGTGTGTAACAATCATCACTACATGTTGTTACATTAATATTTAGTATATACAATTGTTTCTTAACAGTAAATGATTGATGATCTCTCTCTCTCTATCTCTCTTTCTCTTCAATTCAAATGAGCTTTATTGGCATGAATGTGTAACAACAGCATTGCCAAAGCATCATACGTACAACATAAGAACAATCAACCCCATACATTTCATTACATTATAATACCATCATTACATTCTCTCTCTCTCTCTCTCTCTCTCTCTCTCTATCTTCTCCCTGTACACCAACAGCTGCACCTCCAGTCACCAGTCTGTCAAGCTCCTGAAGTTTGCGGTTGACACCACCCTCACAGGGCTCATCTCAGGGGGGGATGAGTCCGCCTACAGGTGGGAGATCGACCATCTGGTGACCTGGTGCAGCCAGGACAGTCTGGAGCTCAACGCTCTGAAGACCGTGGAGATGGTCATGGACTTCAGAAAGAGCACAGCCCCACCCTCCCCCATCATCCTGTGTGACTCCCCAGTCACCACTGTGGACTCCTTCCGCTTCCTGGGCACCATCATCTCCCAGGACCTCAAGTGGGAGCTGAACATCACCTCCATCACCAAGAAGGCCCAGCAGAGGATGTACTTCCTGCGGCAGCTGAAGAAGTTCAGCCTGCCAAAGACAATGATGGTGCATGGTTTTTGTCACAGTGTAAATCACTGTGATACTCCTTAGCAGAGCTGTCCCATGTTTGACAGTAATAGACTGCTGAGTCTCCCTCCTCCACATTGTTGATCATTAGTCAATAATCTGATTGAGACTGATGAGTAGATGTGAACTTGGGAGATGAGAAACCAGAGCCATATTCTGGAGAGCTCCAGCTGTGATAAAACCTCAGTACATACTGAGGAACTCCTCCAGGAATCTGTTTATACCAGCGAGCAGCATCGTTAGTAACAGTCCCCAGGTTACAGTCCATGGTGACTGTCTCTCCTTTCCTCAGCGTCACAACAGGAGGCTTCTGTGTCACCACCGTCACACCACTCACACCTGGAAACAACAAGATGACATGGAGTCAGGAGAAACACACAGACTGATGAATCCAACATGAGGTCAAAGCTGCAGTAAGTCAGCCTCCTTACATGTTAGAGCAGTGATGAGAGTGCAGAGGGTCCCCAGCATGGTGTCAGTGTGTGCTGAGAATGGCCTTGTAACTTGGAAAGTGAGCTTACTGCTGACAGATTAGAGGGTTTGGAGGATGAGGAGAGGAGGTGCTGGAGGAGCAATTTAATACAACACTGAAACTGAGAGTGACTGACAGGAGGAGGAGCTTTGCTCACATCTGCATGGTTTGTCACACTTGTTGGTCTCTTATCTTCTGTAAAGGGAAAAGTAAACTTTCTGTCTCATTAATTGTCAATGTAGGCCATGTCTCTCCCGAACCCAACATATTACAACATCGAGAGTTTGTTTCTTTCCTAAAAAATGATTCATAAATGTGATTGGTTTTGAGAAAGTATTTTTTGTTGTTGTTGTAATTACACACATGTTTTCATATTTTCACAAGAAACATCTACTGCAGGATATATTCTTTGACTCTGCACACATGAGCATAATTCATACCCATTAGAGATAAACCAAAAGTTAATAATGAAACCATCAGTGTGTTTCCAGTCAGAGACGGTTCCCTCTGATTGTACAGAGAGCTGACACTTGATCTCTTCATTTACATGGAGCTATAAATAAGGAGAGGAGGCCTGCAGGTTAGGTTAACGTTAAATGGATTCTCCTGAATGAGAAGCACCAAAATTTCCTCTGCCTGGGATTGACGGGGAAATGAAAAAAAGAAAAGAAAAAAAATTCTTATCTCAAGTTCACAGGAAAACAACATTCATTATCTCAAGATAATTATTCCGTTATCACAGGAAAACGGAGTAAAAAAATGTTTGAATTGTTGGCTGCTTAGGGCTTCCTTAGAATATAAAAGGAGAGTAATCCTTTTATTTTTATTTACTTTTATAGCTCTTACGGTGTGTTCAGGTTTATGGAGCTACAGTATTGTCCTACACTAAACAAAATTATAAATGCAACACTTTTGTTTTTGCCCCCATTCATCATGAGCTAGTCGTGATGAATGGGGGCAACATCTGCATGGTTTGTCACATTTCTTAATCTCATATCGTCTATTTGCTTATATGATTTACATGTGTTTAATGTTTTAACAGGAGACATCTAATGCAGGATATAAGCTTTGGCTCTGCACACTTGAACATAATTCACACACATTAGAAGTAAACTCTGCTGACACTTGACCTCTTCATTTACATGGAGCTATAAATAAGGAGAGGAGGCCTGCAGGTGCATCCGGGGAAGGAAGAGAGGGAGGAGTAGAGAGGTGATGCTTCACTGACGGAGGATGAAAACTCAGTTTCATTTGCTCATTTTTTCAGATTTTTCTAATGTCTCAAACCACTGCAAGTAACCAGATAATAAGAAATATTAATCAAGTTTAATAACAAAAGCATGTATTAACAATGTTGTTTCTTCATTTGCAGTAATTCCTTTTCCTAAATTGTACACGCAGAGCTCAGTAACAAGATAAAAAATTTGAAGCACAATAATATAGAAATATGTCTACCATCTGTGTTTCTCTGACTCAGCTGTGAGGAACATTAAAATCGCCATAGAATTTGGTGTAAAGATATTGCAGTTAAAACACTGTTTAAACTGTCGTAAGTACAAATAAGCACAAACTTGTTTAATTCACAATGTTTTTTGCTGAATGAGTCTCACTCAGTTCTAGTTCAGTGACGGTGGAGAACGGTATTTTGTTAACTTATAGAAAATATTCTAATCATAGGCCATAAATTCAGTATATACGTCCCACCCTCAATGACTTAAACCTCCTCCTTACATCACAAGACACAACAGTTTGTGCCACAATCATCAATTTGCACCACATGGAATGTAAGCAAATTATTCTCATTACACTGATATTTCCTCATTTTCTTTCTACCAGAAATCTCTTTTCCTCTTAAAGCTGTTTTGGTTACTGCTGACTACACAGTTGATCTGTGCGGAGGTGAAGCCAGCAACGTTCCTCCTCTGATAGACATATGGTGTCACCAGCTGCTTTTTCAGTTCATGTCCCAGTGAGTAGTTTTGCATTTCAAATGCACAACCAACATGAAGAGACTGCTGTCACCAGTGCACCAATATATGTGTGTGTGTGTGTGTGTGTGTGTGTGTGTGTGTGTGTGTGTGTGTGTGAAAATATACTTAATCAAACATACTGATATTAGTAAGCTGAGTCAACACATTTGTATTTAGATTATTTGTAAGTAGATTTGGATGTTTATGTTGAATGTATATGAGGAAGTTAGAAATCGATGCTCAGTTGCTTCATTCTTTGTTGAGAAGAAGTGTTTGTGAGGAGGTTTTTGTCACAGTGTAATTCACTGTGATACCCACTCATTAACAGAGCTGTCCCATGTTTGACAGTAATAGACTGCTGAGTCTCCCTCTTCCACATTGTTGATGATCGAACGATAATCTGATTGAGACTGATGAGTAGATGTGAACTTGGGAGATGAGAAACCAGAGCCATAGGTTGGAGAGCTTGAGCTGTGATAAAACCTCAGTACATACTGAGGAACTCCTCCAGGAATCTGTTTATACCAGCGAGCAGCATCGTCAGTAACAGTCCCCAGGTTACAGTCCATGGTGGCTGTCTCTCCTTTCCTCAGCGTCACAACAGGAGGCTTCTGTGTCACCACCGTCACACCACTCACACCTGGAAACAACAAGATGACATGGAGTCAAGAGAAACACACAGACTGATGAATCCAACATGAGATCAAAGCTGCAGTAAGTCAGCCTCCTTACATGTTAGAGCAGTGATGAGAGTGCAGAGGGTCCCCAGCATGGTGTCAGTGTGTGCTGAGAATGGCCTTGTAACTTGGAAAGTGAGCTTACTGCTGACAGATTTGAGGGTTTGGAGGATGAGGAGAGGAGGTGCTGGAGGAGCAATTTAATACAACACTGAAACTGAGAGTGACTGACAGGAGGAGGAGCTTTGCTTACTTTGCTTGCTTCTGTAAAGGGGAAAGTCTTTTCTGTCTTTATTATTGTCAAAGTAGATGAAAACCTTTTATTTGTACAGTGCAACAATATCTGGTTTGTTGCATTTGTTACTAAATAATAACCTCCTGTGTTAAACCACAGGGTTTTCATTTCATCAACCCATCGTGATACCTTTTGTAGTATAGTATTGTTAAGATGGCTTAATTATTTATTTATTTTGGTTGTGACGGAGAGGAAACAATGAACAGGTGAATTGTTTTTGCTCTCCAAAATTCATCAAGATGTCAGAAACAGGGTTTCTTTCAGTCTTGCTTATGATTCAGTTTGAAATTCTACTTAAATAGGGAGGCCAATCAGGATATTACAGACAGGAAAACCATTTTAAGCACAAAGCTGTACTTTCTCATACCGATTTCTTATAGATGCATAGTAAAAGAAGATAAAAAATAGTGTGATTAAAGATTCTAATAAATATATCAGGTTCATATATCATTAATCAGAGGGTTGGTGAGTAGCACAATGTGAAGTACTTTGTCCTTCTAAAGTTGACAAATGCTCAAAGTGCACTCCATTTACAATGTACAATGTAGATTAATATAACTTTACCTTTTTTTTTTATTATTAATCTATATTTTTTATTTTCTTGGGTAAAACAACTCAAATACAAACAATGGTCATACAATGTTAATTAATGTTAAAACAAGTATTTATATATTGTATTATATCAGAATTATAGATTATCTTTTCGGCCTTATGTCACTTTGTAGCCAGCTATTAATACACACAGAGCAGCAGGATGACAGGGAGATAATTTGACACATGCTGCCATCTTGTGGTTGAAAGTGACTTTGTACAAAGAAGCAAAGATAAATACATTTTCAGAGATAAAAAAAAAAGTTCCATCATCTTTTCTACACCATGCATCACTAAACCAGTCTTTATTATGTGACCTCTTCTCACATCACACTCATCAATAAAAAACTAATCATTGTCTTCTGAAAAATATATAAACATATCAGCTCTTGTTTGATACATCAGCATTAGTGAATAAAAACAGCATATGACTAAGGTCTCTGTGGCCCTCTCCTCCTCGCTCTGATATGTGTTGGCTCCTTGATAATCCCCCTGCCGGGACCCCTCATCTGTGCTCGCAGTGGAGACCTCAGACCGACGCTGGGGGGAATCCTCTGCACGGGACGCTGAGGCCGAGTGAATCTGCCGTCCTTGAGGTCATCCACAAAACCCTCCACACTGTCAAACTTTGTGGTGAGCCTCCCCAGCTCGTCTTTTAGAGTGTTAAACTGCCTGTAGAGGTCTGTCAGAGCGTCTGACAGAGGCTGGATCCTGGGCACACAAAGAGACATTTGGGAAAGTACAAATGAAGTAAATCATGTCAGCGTTCGAATGACCAGTCAAAGAGCTTTGGCCCCGTAATGTTCCACAAGCTCACATCAAACAGGAACATTGTTTATTGTCATAACCAAGAGGAGAACCGAGTCAAATTGGCACCATGAACATGAAAGTCACGGCATGCTGTTAAGCAGGAACAGCCCCATCATCTGCAGGAAACATCAGGATAACAGACTAAAAGGAAGTCCCTTAAAAAAAAGAAATAGCAGATCTTTGCACCAAATTGAAGAAAGGACACTGATCCTGCAGTTCAGCTGAAATGGTTACTCAGACTTAACTGTTAGTATCATGGTCCTGAGCGTGAACTCCAAAAAAGTAAAGGTTCAGTGACTTGCAGTAATATCATCAGAACACAAGGCTGAAACATTTCCCGTACTATTTTGGCACAGTCTACCTTGTGAGGTCATTTTTAAAGCAGAGTCGGCCTCGTGTGGTCCAGAGCAATCACTGATCACATTACTGGCTCTGACAGGTCAGTGGTCATGCGCAAAGCAGAACAGAAGTTACATAATTCCTAATTTCGTACCACTGCAAGGAACACTAAAATGTTCACTGATGTCATTGAATGTTGTTATTCTTGCACATTTCAAACCTCTCTTACTCAACATTTCAACTTTCTGTTTTCTCTTCTTGTTCTTGCTTCTCCCATCACTGCAATTTACAATCGGTCCTGTCAAAAGCCAGTGTGACCCACCTGTTGTATTCAGGCAGGACAGAGGCGTGGTCATTGATCAGGAGGTCTTTCAGTTGGGTTACGATGGCATATTTCCAGTTGTCCAGTACCTGGGTCAGGTTGGAGCAAGTGTTGCGGCTGGTGTGTTCTGCTGAAGACAGACATTTAAAAGATGTAGTATGATGTATTACCATTCCTGTAAATTTAACCTAAAACACTGATGCCTTTGAAAAGAAACCTGTTTGCTAATCATCAACAGACAACAGGAACATCAAGAGTGACAACACATAGGTCCTGACCTTTAGGGTCCCGTAATGAGGTTTCCTGTTTCCATTTCTGAGCTCCACATGTTAAGATCACGCAGAGCAGGACCAGAACCCCCTTTGTCCTCATCTTGCTGACTAACGAAAACAGAAGTAGAGGAATACAGAGAAACAGAAACAAATGTATATAAAAGTGATGCTCGGCAAGCTTAGTAAGACACACTTTTACTTGACGTTTAATTATTTTTATTGAAGATACTAGGAAATCTGGATGATAGCATATAGATTGGCTTTGGGTTTTACTACACCTTTCTTTGAAGTAGTGAAGGGGGTCTTTCCAGGTCACAGCAGCAGAACACGCTCTGGAGTACGATCCTTCAACCGTGACACACTAAGAAAACATGACCAGGGCAGCGCTCTCCTTATAACTGCCTCCCTAATCTCCCAGAGCCATTCCCCCACCTGCTCCCACCCACTTCAGTGATGCAGGGCTGTGACACACTCTGTTCCTTTAGAGCATGCATACACAGACACATAACATGGCAGCCAAAGGCAAAGCTCCCCAACGTGTGCACACACACGCTTTCCATTTCAGTCTCCAATGTGTCTTGCAGACTGTGCATCTACTACAATGATAAATAACCCACAGAACCTGAATGGGAGGTCCCGATAATCCCCTATCTACTGCACTCCTTATGGGCTCTAATCCAGAGGAGGTGTTTGATGTAGCTGGATGGCTTCAGCATAGCATTCTTACTGCCTACTGTAATACAATCTGCTCAACATCTGGGCTACGACAGACCAAGCCAGCAATGGTCCCTTTAACGGTCAGGGGTGATGAAGCTGAAAATAAGGGGATGAAAACACACTTTGTTTAGAGTCACTCATTAATAAAATAGTCTATTTTAGAGAATATTTAGTAGTTTTCCTCACTCTGGGGCTGCAGAAGACAAGTTCTTATTATCAATTTTAAAACAGCTGTTAAAAAACTTACAACCCTGAAAAGTCCACTCGCCCCTAAACTGCCAACATCTTGAACTCAAATGATAAAAATAATTAGTCTAAATAATTTATGTGGCAATAACATCACTGCTGATGGAGGATGATGCAACACATTTGTGTCACGTAGTTTCACTGCTAAGAGTAATTCCTTTTATCTATAATCTGGACAGTTTTGGGCAGACAAGTGCAGCTGGACCCAAAGGAAGTAGAAAAATATATTTCACCAAAGCACATTTTCATTCATTTTTAAATACCGGGCAAAAGGAGAGCCTTTCCTTTGTCGGCTCTGAAATGAAATACCTTTTGTGGCAAGAAATTCCAGCTCTGATCTATTCCAGATCAGAGCTCCTTATTCCATTTGAAAGGCTATTCATGCTGCTGCATCCTGTGCTGATGTCTGCAGACAGTATTGATATATGGCACGAGGTTTTCCATCACTGCTGGAAAAGAATCTGACTGAGTAAAAGTCCCTGCCATCTGCACCAACTTTAAACCAATACAGGCAACCTTCTGTACTGCATGCTGTAATGAACATCATGCCATCTGTACCATACATCTTCAGTGCTGACATGACTGAATTGGATTTCATTCAAACAGTAGGAACTTAATAGTCCGTGAAGGAAATGATTTATAAACAAGGAAACTGTGGGATTTATGAGATTTCACCTGACACCCAGCTGATAATCTAGTCTGTCAGCAAACAGTCACAGTAAATTAGTTGATTTGTAAATCTGGAATGATCTTACTAGATGTTAACCCCAATTTATGTAGATTCAAAATTGACATTTAAGTGTAACTTTTTTTGATGGTTTATCTTTTGATCATGACAGACTAAAGTTCATTGTACATCCTCAGCTTATTATTTTCCACTACATCAGTGGAAATGTGCAGTAGCAGCAGCGCAGTGAGAGAAGGTATGTCACTTATGTGCAGTGGATGAATTACTGAGCAACACCTCGGGGCACAAATACTCCACTATGAGTACAAGTCATGCATTCTAAACCTTACCAAAGCGTGACTACCAAAGGATCCGCATAAAAAGGTACCAAAAGTAAAAGTACCTATTATGCAGCAGAATGGCCGCTGTTACAGTTAACGTTGGATTATTGCTGCTGATTATTTTTACAGCATTTTAAATTGTGGCTGGTCAAAGTAAATACTTCACTTTTTATGTTTTATCTGTAACAATGCATCATAGTTTATGAGCTGATCATATGTTTTGAATGTAAATCCTTCACGGTAAACAGTAAAGATTGCAGAAAAATGTAGTAGAGTATTATATTTGCGTATGAAATGCAATAATGTAGAAGCATAAAATATCATAAAATGCCGATATTCTAGTGAAGCACCTCGAATAAACATCTAAAATTGCCTACCGCCACTGGTCACTATGTATCTTTATAGAACAGCGAATGGTTAAAGGTACTTGCTAAGATTGTATCCAGCTACAGGCGCCCCGCCTCACACATTAATCTGCTATGTCAAGAAGGCAAAACTCTGACTTCCTCATTTATCTGTAAGGTCCGCAACAAGTGTGACAAATCATAATTTGTTATTCTGTTAATGCACATTAATATGGAAACAGATTTATGGCAGCGCTAATGAGTGTTATAGCCCCATCTGGAGTCAGCCACCAGTCAGTCTCAGGCCCAGCCTGCAGCAGTAGACCGACTGCCTTCCAGCTCCCTGCAGCTAAGTCCAGCAGAGCCAGAGGAAAGAATGACAGCAGCGGACCAGCAGAGCCAGAGAGTGAGAGAACCAGGTCTCTCTCTGTCTGTTTTTTAACTCACCGTCACATTTGCTCTCTATCACGTGCTGCTTGTTATTGACTCACAGCAGCACCCCCTTTCATGATGACTTTATCAGAGCAATATTATGGATTAAAATTGAAATATATCAGCCAAACAGAAGGTGCGCCATGAGGATTCTCGAGTTTCCTGCTGAGCCACTTGACTGTCAGTGTTTTTAGAAAGAGACAGATGACCAAGAGGATGGTGTCTTGGTGATTATCTTACCTCATATGACTTTTAACAATTATCCCAAAAAGCGTGACACGAGGGATGTAACCAATTAGACTTAGTTTCACACTTGAAAGGAGCTGCTACAATCCTGATCTGGTTTTGATGACACTTAAAGAGAATATGGATCTTCCAACTGACTGGACCAAAATGTATGTGCATCATATGATGAGGTTGACATGTTTACAAGGCAGCAAGTCCTGTTTTCTCTTATGTTGCTGGCTGCCAGTTTCTGTTGCCTCCAGTGTTTGAGCTAAGCTTGGCTAAACACATCCCGGAGCAACTTCTCTAATCAACACAGTTGAAATTCACTTCAGAAATGTTCATGAAATGATCACATTTATTCTCTGTGGGTAGTCTACAAACACCTTTATCAGAGGGAATAAACCTGATAAGTAGCCTACACATGATTGTATTTATAGAGAGTTATCAATAAAAGTGCTATTATCTATACCATTTTTCATTTTTAGTCTGTACCACTATTACCTTTACCTTTATCTGTATTTCTGTGTGGATACTGTATTGCTGCTACTTTTACAATAAAAACTCCCTTTGGGAATGTTTGGTCCACCTCCATTTACATTCTAAGCATTAGATGGATTATTAGAAACACTTTCATGTATTTGTATTATTATTTTACGTGCTATATGAATATGAATCTGCCACAAGACCTTGTGTAGATGACACTTGGCCTGCGTCTTTTAGAATCAGGAGTGTTCACTTCCATCTAGTGGTCACAGAGAGGAACTGCAACTCTACTTTGAATTGGCTAATAGGTTACCGCGTCATCATCAGTATAAATGTTAATAAAATCATTATGTAAAACGAATTATTATTACAACTAACCATACTAAGGCAGTAAGTCAGTATTGGCAATATAATAAATAGCTGCTTTTTGTTATGGCAGAAAATGTTTTCCTCTTACATTTAATCTTTTATGCATGTTCTTTTATTATTATTATTAGTAGTAGTATTGGTTGTTGTTGTTGTTTTTATGTCTTATAGGTATATATTGTTTCTATCCTTAACCTTTCTTTCTTCTATACTTCTTATGTTCGTTTGTCCACATTTACTGGGGTTTAGGTCAGAGCTGTGAGATTGTTTTAGTGTTTTCAAGGAGAGGAGAGGATCTCTGTTCCCCAAAACATAGAAATCTAGACTGTATAAATGATTATGCATCCCTTTCACCAAACAAGAAATTATAAATGAACTAACAGAAATGATCATGGAATTATTTTGTTCAGAGTTGTGGATCCACATGCTAGTGGAACAAGAAAACCCAGGATAGTAGAAAAAACAGAGTGGGAGAGTGTTGCATGGTGATTTGTGTTTCTGCTAAAACACAGTGATAGCCAAGCAGGAGCCTGTAATATGCAGCATTACCAAGCCTGGAACTACTTCTCACTCATCCATAAAAGAAAGCTGCTGTTTGTCGTGGAAATTGTATAGTGCTGTGGAGGGATTAAGCAAATAATTGAGTGCCATAACACTGTTCATGATCATAGCTGCAGCCATGAAATGGATGGACCGAGAAGATTAGCGCAATGTGCTGAGAAATGTTAAATCACTTTAGGTTTCTGTATACATCTCACTCATTATAGCATATTTACGTTTTATGTATATTATCATAACATATTATCAGTTTCCCTGCTGTATCTGACGGATTATTTCCTCTCGATGTACTACGAGAGCCTTTTTTTTTCTTAACTGTGTTGAGATGGTGGGTGGAAACCTTACACGTTGATTGCTCTTTTTTTCCAACTGGCAAAATAAATTCCAGTCAATAATACCAGAGCCAGCAGATTGGTCCTTCTTAGCCAAACAGCCATAACCATGCAATGAAATGATAGCTCACATGATAACAATTAGGAATATATTTTTCTGAGGTTAGATCTGATCTGCATTGAGGGCCTTTGATCTTTTAAGTAGATAATGATAATGTTAATACTCTGTTAATTCTAATAAATATCCCAGCAGCTACTGGATGGATTGCCATGAAATTATAGGCATTCATGTTGAATCCTAATGACTTTGTGATCCCCTGACTTCATCTGGCACCAACTGCAACTCAAAGTTTTCCCTTATCCAATATTTACATGAAAAATTGGCCATTGACTTTTCATCTACCACCACCATGAGGTTCACATTTATGGTTTGGACTGGCATGTCTCGACAACATTTAGATAGGCTGCCGTGGAATTTGGCACATTAAACAGTATTTGAATACCTTGATATTTCCTCACAATGTAATTGAACATTCCTATCAGCCTCAGTTGTACTTTGTGTTTGTAGCTAACTAGCAAATGTTAGCATGCTAACAAACTAAACCAAAAATTATCATGATCAACATTATATCTGTTTCATTGTGAGCTTGTTAGCATATAGACATTAGAATTTACCTTGAAGCACAGCCTGACTGACCTTGTGGGGGCGGGGACCCCCAGGTTGGGAACCACTGCAATAAACAATTAGGAAACCAAGGCAGCTGACCAGGTCGCCACTCAATCATGAACAAAAAAAATGCACATATCAACTTATACATTGTTTTTAACTAAACAATAAGTAATTTTTAGTTTTGTACAGTGTTTTTGTTTCCAAACACACGTTTTCTCTTTAACTACCCACTTATTTTCCAAGTGCAATCAAATTGTTATGTAACACCTTCACATCTCAGATGTTCATGTGTGTAAACCTCACATCAAAATTCTCTTGTTCTAGTCAGACTCCTGCTCTTGAGTCTCTCATACATGCTATGATAAGCATAATCCCCTCAGTGTGACTCTCACATGATGACGAAATCCCACGCCTCGCAGCAGCTAGAGGCTAAACACTGCATGGTGTCTCCACCTCAGCTCACATGCTCCTTTGTTCATACTGTAGCCAATGCCGCCCCTATGTTCATTCTGACCTGGTAGAAGCACAGGGAGAATCATCTCCCGGTGGTTGACAACATGAAGAGATATTTGTTTATAAAAAGGATTCTTTTAATGTGGTCGAGGAGGGACACTACGCAGAATGAGTCCAGTCCGCTCATACCAAAGGTAAGGAGTCCCTTTTGAATCTCTGTTTTTGTTATGTGAGGTTCTTTTCTGAAAATTTGCTACCTTTCTGTGTAGTAAAATGTTTGAGGTAGGTTAAGTTATCTAAAACTATGGTATTTAGTTGCATTCCTGTGTGTCCACAGGCAGACTCTGCAAAAGAGGATTCTGCAGAGCTTGGTCGTGAATTTCACCAATCAGGCCAAGACAATGGACAGGAAGACAACAGACCTATTCATGCAAGTATCCAACCCTACAGATATTCTTTGATGGACTATTTCCTAAAGTACATCCTGTTCCTATTCAATCTGGTGTTCACAATTCTGGGCATGGTGGTTCTTGGTCTGGGGACATGGGGCCTCATCAGCAAAGAGTCGTTTGCTCAGGAGAAGATCGGCAGTATCGGCACCGACCCAATGCTCATACTTGTGACTTTAGGCTTTGTGCTGATGTTGCTCTGCCTGTCAGGCTGCGTGGGCGCCTTAAGAGAAAACTGCTCCTTACTGAAGCTGTTCTCTGCCGCCGTGCTGGTGCTCATCACAGCCCAGGTGCTGACCGCCATTATGGCCTACAGTCTACAAGGTCTGATTGAAAGCTACCTGCATTCAGGGATGTTAGCTGCCATGGTGCGCTACCAGGACGATCTGGATCTGAGGTTCATCATGGACGAGATTCAGACAAATATGCAGTGCTGTGGGGCAGATAACTACCGTGACTGGGAGATCAACATGTGAGTAGAGGGTGACTAACTTGGATATATTTCCAAAAAAAACTGAAGTAAATGTGCTGCTAAGAGTGTTATTGTATATATTTTCCTTTCCTCAGATATTACAACTGCTCAGCTCCAGGAGTGCTGGCCTGTGGGGTCCCTGCGACATGCTGTGTGGACCCTTTGGAGAACGGCACAGTGTGGAACTCTCAGTGTGGTTTAGGAGCCCAGCTGCTGGATGAGTTCACAGCTCAGAGTGTGATCTTCCTGGGCGGTTGCCTGGGGGGAATCTCTCGTTGGATCAAGCAACATGAAGGCCTGATCGGGACAGTTGGAATCGTCGTACTGGGGGTCCAGGTTCTGACTGTGTTCATCACTATGCGGCTGTTAGAAAGCATCCAGTGGCATAAAGTTTACAGATAACATGGGGTGAAGAATATATTGTGTGCTGATATTTAATGAGCGCTAACTGCCTTTGTCATCTGTAGTAAACATAATGTATACCCGACTCAGATGACTGCGCCTGTTTGCCCGTGGAAATGATAAATAACTACTTATTTTGACAAAGAAAATTTCAACATTAAATGTTATGGTGACAGACCAAAGTGCATTATTCAACTGGCAACAAGCCGTGTTTTGATTCAGAAAGAAATTCCATCAACAGAATCAAAAGACCTTTAAAGTTTTAAAGGCCAAGAAGACCTATTTAACATTTTGTTACAAAGACAGCGGTATCTTGCCTAACTCTAAATCTACAGTGTGAGCCCTATACATCTGTTGTACTGTAAAAACCATCACTTCTCCTTGACAATTTGTGGTTTTCTTTCTTTTTTACCCTAGAAAAAGGCCACCGTGCCAGATTGCTGTCAAGTGCTAGCTCATGGTGGGAATTATTGGGTCTCTGTAAATAATATTACAAAGAGTACGGTCTACCTGCTCTATGTGAAAAGTGCAATGAGATAACTTCTGTTATGAACAGGTGCTATATAAATAAAATTTGAATTGAATTAATGCAAAGAGGTCGACATTTTGGGAAACACGCTCTAACACGAGCTAGATGAAAATAATGATATCACTCCATGGCTGTAGTGTAAATATAGATGAATATACAAATGACTCCTCTTTGCTTGGAGTCTTGTTGTCACCATAAGGTTACCAGGCAATCAGAAAAGAAAGTTACTTTTGGACAGAGCCAAGTGACTGCTAGCTGTAGCTTCGCTTTTACCATATAGACGCGAGTGGTGTCATTCTTCTCATCTAACACTCAGCATGACAGCAAAGAAGCATACTTCCCAAATGTCAAACTATTGCTTATCATTATTAAGTATTAGGAAAATGCACAGGATGTATGTTTTTTTGACCCTTTACTGTTCGGATTATTTTGTGGTTCTTACGCTACTCTTTTTGAAAAGGGACAGATAAATCCTTATAATGTAATGTTTCAAACACAGTATCACAGTTTAATAACACAAAGTTTGGCAAAAGCAAGAAATGTTTGAAATTCAAGTCAAAATTGTTGAAAAAAAATTACAAGCTTGATTCTGAATTTTATTAAACATGATGCTGTCAATTGTGCAGAAACTCCATCTTTGAAGTCAGTAACCAAGCATCCACTTACAGCTTCCACTGCAACCTCAGGCAGTGACACATTCAGCATCAGTGGGTGGTGGCAATTAAAATGGCAGCTTGAGAGTCTTACGAAAATTTGAAATATTTAATGTAATGTAGAAGAAAGATTTAATGTATAAAACAACTTAAAGAACAGAATCCATATTATGCAGATTTTTTTTACATGTTAGTTCTTTAGTTTCTGGTTAACTATTATAAAAAATATTGATGATCCATTTCCCTTTCTTAAATATAAAAATAAGTTCTTAGCAAAGAGCCTCAGATGATGCCATACTGAGCGAGTTCATGTAGCTCTAGATGGCTATATGCTTCCCATGGGCAGATTATTGTGATGTCTGAAAAAGAAAGAACAAATAGTGAGTAACAAAAATAAATTACAGTTGTATGGTTTGTGTGTAGTTGTTTGTTGTGCCTAAATGGTAGTACTTCTGCCTACCAATGCCAAGCCCTTCCATTCCTGGGATCTCCTCTCCAAAGCTGAGGAAGAAAGGAAATCACAAGCTTTATTGTGGGGACATTTTTAAAAGACAAACTTTCAAGAAGACACTCGGGAAAATTTACTCAAGAAAGAGCAAGGCTTACCCAATGACGCCCCTCTTTGGTGGTTTGCTCTTGAATTGGCGGCCGTTCCTCTGTTTGAACTTGGGCGGGCCAGATCCAGGGCCGGTGGCTCTGAGAGGAGCTTTGTTTCGAGTCTTCGCTTCAGGTTTGGCCACATCCACATTCATATTTCTGTTGTTTGAACTGTAATGGGACAGTCAGTGTGTCATAAAAAGGGATGTAATACAAATAAATATTAAGAAATGTTGTTTAATGTGCCCAGATCTAAATACGTTGCAATCAGGACATGTATCCGTTTCCACTACTCTGTATTTTGCTACTACACTAAACAAACTCATGAAAGTAATTGTCCTTCTGTGATTACAAATGTGTCTAAATAACTTAATATCTGAAGAAATACAAACATGTGGCAGATAATAAAGGCTCCTACGCTCCCACGCTCACATTAATTAACCCTTCATTATGCCTTTGAGCTTCACAGCACCTTCATAATCAGATTACTGTGGACATGTTGAATTTGTGATCCTAACCTGAATATAGCTCATTGATTACTCAATCAGATTAAAGGGAGTTTTGAAAGGAAACTTTTTTACAAAAGTGGTAAAAACCCAGGTGACGATATATATACAGTAACTATTAAATAAATTCAAAGCAGATAGATTTGAGTAAATACATCTGTGTCCATAATTTCACTCCAAGTAAACAATACATTTTGTTATGTTTATTCTAAATATTGCTAAGAAGAACTCACTGTTACAATCTACATATACAATCTACTGCAATCAATACAACAGCTCCATAAATTTGACTTTTACACATAATGTTCTTGATATTATCATAAATGTGTTCATTATTGAGGTCATAGATAAAAGTGGTGTTGAATTGGTTTGTACTGAGAGGTGTTTCAAACTGTTCTCTTACACTACTTGCTATTTACATACATGAGGGGCGCAGAATTTTAGAAACATCCTTGAATACAGTGCAGTCTACTACAGCGCCACCACTAAATATGACCTTAATGCTAAAACATATTTCATTGACACATCAAAATAAAACTGAACAGTATAGCATCATAAAAAATAGATTTTACGGCAGCACAGTTGTTCTTATAAACCTAATAACGTGACCACTGAGTATATGTGTCTTCTTGGACACATACAGGTTTCCCAATTTGCCCCCAAAATTGACCTTTAAATTAAATATTGCGATCCATTAAACTTAAATAAATACCAACAAAATACTGAAAAAAAAAAAAAGCATGTTTCTCGTAAAGCACATAAACTGAAACTCCAAAACATCGTCTAAGTGGTTGCTCATACTCACCACTTGTGTTGTGTATCTTTGTTGGTCATGTTATACAGATCAGGGCTGCTGTTGCATGATGTGTTTAGTGAAGCGCTCTTATACACCTCAGACCCCTGAGAAGATTATGACACTAGCAGCCAATGAACTGCAGGATCCTTGTATACACACACACACACACACACACACACACACACACACACACACACACACACACACAGAGGTTTTTCACATTGCATATGGACCAGTTCATTCATTAGAGATTGACAGGCAGGCAGTTTTGGGGACATCAGACTGACCTGACAGTGCAGGCAAATGTTTTTAGAATCACAATGAAGAAGTGTGCCTGGGTGTCCACCAGGAGTCATCTGCATAGTTCAGCAATCTTTGTATGTGCAACAATATGCAGTGTGGTACCACCACCTGCAGACGAGAACATACTAGCCCTTTAATCAGCAATCTCTCAGATTGAGTTGTATTAGGCCCCACTGGTAATCCCCCCCCCCTACACACACCTCCCACACACATAAACACAAGCCTGATCCATTCATCTGATGGTTTACTACAGCTTCTCCCTGTAATCTATACCATTCATGCACATGCAGGACAGGACACGTGCATGGACATAGACTTTCACTTCCTGTGGCTTATTTACTCTTACTGTCTCTCTTATAGACTCACAAACTCACACTAATTATCTGCACACAATCACACACACATGTGTCAGCATCAGAGGATGCATTGAATACCAATATACTTTTATGAGATATTGGTGACCTTTTTATGAGAACGTTTTTATTCTCTGAGTAATGATCCAGTCCACGCACACTGAAAATCCTGCAGGCTCTGGAGTGCTTATGCTGCTGGAAACATATATGGTACACTGTATGTCACATGTCTGATACATACTCTGGGATAAAATGCCGAATGAGCTACAACTAATGATGGTGTTCGTTGTTGGCTAATCGGTAGGCTTTCTTTTTGATTAATCATTTAATCTATGACTTGTCAAAATAATAGTAACAACAGTACTACTTTACTCAAGTAACCTACAGTGCTTAGGTACAATTTTGAGGTAGGCCTACTTATATTTTAAATCAGTGTCCATTTTATGCTACATTACACTCACCACACCATTTTGGATAAAATATTATACTTCCTACCCCACTACATTAATCTTAATAGATACGAGGAGCAATTCAATAGTAGACTAACAATAACACATGTTGTTTACATCTGGCTTTATTAACATAGTAAATTTACTATACAATTTCATTTTTTTTGTTTGTGTAGCTGATTGTGGTAAATAGTTTATTAAATTGTATTTATTTGTAGCCTATGTGAAACTCCAATGTGTGACCATCTTAAGCAGCCATAATTTAAGTTATGTCTGCTTCTGAGAGTCAAAATCAATCTTACAACAGTCTGGATGGTCAAATGTATCTGTACTTAACAATTCTGTAGGATTGTACAAACAAACTGAACTAACGATGCCATCTAGTGGTGTCAGAAAGAAGCAAAGATCGTCAGTCATATCGGTGTATCACTCTGGGCTAAAATGTTTCCATCAAACAGATTTCTGTTTTATCTGGTAGTGAAATGTGTTTGTACGTTTTGTTTTTAGATGTCCCACATAAAATTCCAGTTTTGCCAAATCAGGTAAATCAGTAGTAGCAAGGACCAAGACTCTCCACATGTTGGCTCTTAGTGGTGTATTTAAAAACTCTGAATTTCTTAAGGTGAACTGGATAATTGTTATTAATAATTTGATAAATTTCCTCTTCCTCTCTTTTCTCTGTGAGCTCGAGGAGAAGTGGTGTCTCCTCTACAAAACGTCTCGGTGTCCCACGAGGAGTGGAAACGTCAACGGCACCTGAAAAAGCCACAGAGGGAGAGGTCTTCACTTCCGCCCGCGCTGTCGCTTCAGGTTCGTAGGTTAAAGGTTAACTTACACGCTGCCCCACATGTGTTTTTGTTTTGTTAAGATACTCTGTAGTGCATTGAAATAACCTACAGTAACATGGGGAAGAATAAGAAGAACAAAACTAAACAGCCAGGACAACAAGCTGATGAGGCTGGACAACGTCCAAGGTAACGTAATGAATCTGACAGAAAACTGCTAGCTAGCTCCAGCAGCTATTAGCTCTCTACATTAGGCGTAAGCTAAGTTATCATAATAACATTCAAGTTGTTAAAATCATCCTTGTATGAAAGTGAGGACACGTACCTGCATTATACACGTCTTTCAAAAGTGAATTCCTCCTACATGCTGTGTGGACTGTAATGTGTCTAAACAGGGATAAGAAGCTCAAACGAGATGGGAAACCCAAGAAAACCAAACCAGATCACCTTCAAGATATCCCCTTCAGGCTCCGAGAGATAATGAAAAGCAAGGAGAGAATGAAAACGGGACCCTTGAAGGCCAAAAAGATAAAAGAGTGTGAGTGGGAAACCTTCTTTATATTTCTGTTGAAATACATACTGATACTTTCTTTAACAGTCATGTATTTGTTTGTGTCTCTTTAGCCATCGTCCCTAAAGGTAAACCGTGGGATTCCCAGGGTGGAGACATAGCTGTCCCACATTTCAGGAGGGGAAAGGAGGAGAGTGAGAAAGCATACGTGCGACGCATGGAGAATGAGACCAAACACGTCCTCTTCCTCACCAAGAACCAAGTAGAGAGAAAGCCTGAGCTGGATGCAGACGAACAAGAGAGGCCCGCAGACAAGGGCAAGTCTGAGAAGAAGAAGGAGTGAGTACACTGTCACTGGCAATCACCTTAACTGATCTGTGTGTCTGCTGATATGAGACGTCAATGAAGGGTGGGGACAACTGAGTCGGTCAGGGTACTATGACATGTCTTAAAATATCATCTTTGTTGCTTTTTGGCTAATGTTTGATGTGCAACAAAAATGCCATACAGGGACAAGACAAATGTCATCTGTTGAGGTTTTAATGTGCTGTAGCAATTTATCATTTTTGGTTACAGTCTAAGCTTAAATGTAACAAAAGGTTGCAGGAAGGCAACAACAGGTAAGTGAAACCATAATACAAAACTGCTTACATGTAGAATAGTAAAACCCAACATGGATTTAAATATTTGTAACTTATAATTTAAATAGACCACATTAATACAGAAATGTTAAACTGATTGTCTTTCCTGGGTGATACATGTCTGATTTATTTGATCTTTGCTGTCTTGCTGCAGGTACGATAAAGTCAGACTGCAGAGGCTGCAGCAGAAAAAGTTGGACAGACAAGAGGCCAAGATGGAAAAAGAGATGTTTATAGGTAATGAAAGCATCTTTTCTCAAACACTTTTCACATTTCAGGAGTGTTTAAGATCATCGGGGGGTAGGTTCCATCTCTGTAGTTTCACTATTCACAATTATTTTGTATTATTCAAGTTTATCAGAAATGTAGTTCCAAAGCCTTTACGTGATTACAGCAGGTACAAGTAGGATATATTCCATAACTATTTAGAAGTGAGTGTAAATATTCTTTAATTTAATTTACTCAAGTTCTTCTGTCATGGATTTTCCAGCAAAGTGTACAAGAGATCGTACACTTTGCTGAAAAGGACCTGTTATTCTTGCTTTTGGTTTTAGGTGACAAAATGCTACAGCAGCTCCTTTTCCCTTAATGTAGCTTAATGTGTTCCTTTTTAGTGTATATCCTCTAAAATCAAACTAAGTAACTAGCTGATTATTTCTGGGACATGTTTATTTAAAGCTGAGATATCATACTATAAAAGGGGAGTGAATACAGGACACAAACACTACTCCTGATGAATGCTAATGTTGCTTTGTGTCTGCTGTATTTGTAGAAAGGCAACTGTTTGCTAACACATTTGCTTCACATCCTAATGAGGTGATATAGGTGCCTCCTAAAACAGCCAACCCAATAATGCTGCTTGAATCAATTCAAGGGTATGAAACGTGCCTGTAAACTGATGTGATGAGGTTTTGTTTTGTAGACAATGTTCCCTTTGGTGAAGTTTCAATGGCCCCGCCGTCCCTGAGCGCCAAACCCAAGAAAGCTCCGGTCAAATCTCAGGTAACCTGCCATGCAGTTATCACATGTGATGTTGGTGAGCTTAATGGTTGAGGAGGAGGTTAACTGTGTTTTTTTTGTTTTTTTCTTTTCTCCCTCCACCATCCAGAAGGCATCAAGAGACCTGCTTCTCAACTCTCTCCTGGGCCACAACGTGGCCTCCACAACCAAGCCCTCCATGGCCAGAAAGAGAATCATGGAGGAGGAGAGGGAGCGAGCAGTGGAGGCCTACCGCCATCTTAAGAAACAGAAACAGCTGCAGCATGAGGCCAGGACTGCCAGTCTGGAAAAACTCAAGAACCTTCAGTGATGTTTCATGTCAAAGAATTATAAGTACCAGGCTTCAGTCCACAGTGAAGTCCAGAAATGGACACAGATCGTAAGCTAACCCTCAGCAGACTGTATTATGTAACTCTGGAACTGATTTGCCAGCGGGGGAGCTCATCATACTGTAGATAACTGTCAGGGAAAGGAGCAAACATTTGCATCCACAGGCCACAGTATGAGGTAAGTATTAATCAACATCCACCTGTCACTCAGTATCATGTTTTGCTCAAAAAAAGAACAGGACATTCATATTGTTAATGCCTGTTTAGATGTATTACAAACAATGTAAATACATTCAGACAGGTGACTTTTGTTTTTCTCTCCCTTATAACTGTTAGATGTTCACTGGTAAGTGATCATTGTATTTACACTTTTTGTATCTTTTAGATACTGATATCATTTGTGATATGATATGGTAGACAATAAAATCATTAAAGCTGGAGTAGGCAATTTATTTCAGAAGCATTTTTGGTATATTTGTTGAAATTCTCTTTTACATACTGACAGTAATCAATAAATCAAATGCTCTGACAAGGAAATGGAAAAAAAAAAAAGGTATCTGTGGCTTTATCAGGACTATAAAAAGCATGGCCAATCATTTAATTTGACTGACTGGCCTGCCTATCTGCACGCACTATGCCTGTGAACTCACTGCGCATGAAAATGTGTGGCTTTGAAGGGAGGCCTGAAGGGTGTGTGAAAAGAGACATGCCTTTAGTGTGACAGCCCCAGGTTTAATTCCCACGGCGACACGCTCACCAATGTGTCCCTGAGCAAAACACTTAAGTCGCTTTGGATAAAATGAGTAAATGTAGGGAGGGTGTTGGATACAAACCTCTGATTATGTGCTGCGGTTCCACTAGATGGCAGTCCCCCTGTAGAAAGCTGTGTTCATGTTGTTTGCAGGGAGAGCTAACATGTAGACTGAATGATTTTGGACTTTTTCGTGGTGGCACACCTTGCCCTAATATATCTGTGAGATTATGGTTGTCGTCTTTTACCACATTTCAGACTGAATTCAAGGAGTGGAAATGAGCAGAATGTGTAAAAGAATTGTAAGGAATGAAACAATTATGAGCGTTTGATCATATCACATGAGCTTCATCAGCAGACAACGTTTGCCCAGTTGTCATAGAATTGTACATCTTCAAAGTTACATGGCTTTCAGGTCTTCATGTCTATTTTGGCTTTAAAGATGATCTTCAATGTTCATTCCTGACTTTGAAAACAATCTTACCGCCAGCGTTCAACAGTATGAAATGACCACATTGGCCAGGTCTCTCTTGAAAAAGAGGTTTTAAATCTCAGTGAGATCATCAGGTTGGGAAAAAAAAAAAAAAAGTGGTCATGTTTTTCTCAGGTACATTTGCCAAAGTTAAGAGTGAACTCATAATATAAAAAAAATAAAAAAGCTGTTCATACTTTTCCTTTGTACCTCTCAGAGCCTGAATCCTGGTATAAATAAATCACATTAGCCTTTTTAAATGCAGAGCTCTTATAAGAACCTGGCACAGCTATTTATTTCTTTTGTAATCCTGGAAAGGTTTACCCTCATGAACAAGGCCTTTGTTTAAATATTGGCCTCTGGGACAAACTGTACAAATTCAGGCATGTTTTGTTTGACAGCTTCCTCTTTCAAAGCACCTTAGATCTAAAAGCAAATATTAAATTGATAATTTTTTTTGCAAGAGTGATCTCCTGAATAATATCACCAGATGGCATTACCCATTTAATACTGAATCCCTGTTGTCTGGTCTGTAGGTTCACAGAAGTTGTTTTGTATCTGTGTTTGTCCACTGAGGGTTGTCACAGAGACATGGATATGCATCAAGTGGGGACAGCTGCTTGTGATTGGTAGTGCTGACTCCCTTGAGCTGAGCTCAACCTCCATTAGTCATGTAACCACCCGTGCCCATGTGCACGAGACAGCTATTCGTATTATCAAGGGATTTACAGTTGCTGCCTGTCAGAGAAAGATGCTGCTTTTGGTTTCAGCTCAAGTCACTGATCAGGAGTTAATGTCTAACACACTTTAAATAAAGGCAGTGGCAAGGTTTCATGTGTTTATATTGTGGACTCTTCTGCAGAGTGATACTTTACCAGTTACCCCTTAATGAGATGTGTGGGTAAAATCCAGCTATGGCTCCTTTGGGACAGCCTGTAGTGTTGCCCGTAAATCTAGAGCTAACCTGCCAGTAAACGGGCAAATGTTGGGAATGTAACAAAAACAAATGCCTGAATACTCTTTTTGTTTCAATTTGTAAATTTGTGCGTTTACCATCTGGTTGTAAAGACTGTGCTGCCTATCTGCATGTTTCTTTGCAGCTCTTTGCATCCGTCTGTCTGTCTGTCTGCAGAGGATCAAAGGGTGCAGACACGGGGCATTGCAGAATCTCCACATTTGCACACGTGTTCTGTTGTACATTTCAGATCTGTCTGATTTCCAGTTTGTGAGCAATTTCCTGCTGAGTAAGTACTCATGGCTGCTGACAGTACAGGGTGGTGGGAGTAATTGGGAGAGAGCCTACTCGGCCTGCTGCTAGGCAGCCACCATCACTCTAAAGTGTGTACGTGTGTGAGCATGTCTGTGTATGACAAATTATGTTAATAATCGTTGCTCTTCCTGTAGAGAAAAGGGAGAATCATCGTAAGTCAAGGCAGTTGTCCATGCTAATTTGCCTAAAGATAATTTGTCCCTTCACAATAATTTTGAATATACAGAATGTTTGTTTATTTCAAAACATATACCCTGAGTAGCATTTTAAAACTGTTTCAATAATTAAATAATTTTCTGTCACTGTGTGATGGTCTCAGTGTGATTATTTGCATCCCACTCAGCTTCCTATGTAACAAACACATATGCAGAGAAGGCTCCTGGCAGCGTTTTGCTGCTGCCGCTGCCAGACAATGCAGTTCTTCTCAGATACTCCATCAAATCTCATTGTAATGCCCCAAACTCAAAATGTAAGTGCATCCACTCAGTGGCTATAAGAATGTCACAGTGCTAAATCCAAACTAGAAAAGAGTTTTACATGGATTTATTTGTCAGATTTTACCATTTGGGTATAACACTTCCACAGTTTCACACTCAGTGCCGTGTAAAATATGTTACAGCCTTGTTTAGCAGTGTGAGCTCATATACCACAGTCTGAGAGTCTGTTGTAAAATCTTATCTTGCCAACATTATGTAAATGCGAAGTGTAAATGGTAATCCTTGTGACACTTCCTCTTTGGTATCCCATATATGTCTTGTGAAGTGTTGAGCTGTTATAGTCCAAAAATCCAACAGCCACACAGGATGTAAGTAACCTTTACAAGTTTAATAAGTTAGAATTTACACCTTAAAATGACATTTGTTATACTTTCAGGGGTCTGAACCACAACATGATTAAGTATGTTTTACAACAGCCAACAGATTAACAGTCACCAGACGCATGACAAGAAATGATACTGGTGAGAACGCAACTTTGATTATTGTGAATAAAAACTAAGATGTAACAGTTCAATTACAGACCTTGTCTTTGCTTTAAACTCTCTGTACCTAATCCTTAGAAATATAAAAACTAGAGGCAGAACAGTATTTGGTCTTTCTCTTAGCAAGAAGGTAAAGTAAATATCTATATAGAGAGAGATAGACATAGAGATTGAGAGAGAGATTGACTGACTTTTTCGGGAGTCCAGTGAGTACAAGCTACCAGTGAGCAAAGCTGGTTTATAGTTGACCATAAAAGGTTTACAGCACTAGTTGCCATAAATGGAGGAGCCGAGGCACAACCTTTCCATATGAAAAGCACTGGCCTTTTATAAGCTGTCTATCTCCAATATTGTTAGCGGTTTTATAACTTTTGATATATCACACTCAGCCCCTGTGCATACAGAACATACAAGCAGTATACAAACATCAGAGGAAATAAAATATAAGACAAAATGAATATGTGTGTGTGTGTGAGAGAGGAGCTAGGAATTACCACAGTGTGTTATTAGTTAAAGCATCTTCCCGAGGAAGGTGTAGGCGACACTCGCCTCGTGGTGCCTGCGCGTGACAGTCCTTAAGAAGGAAAAGACTCCACCGAACGAGGCAGGGAGCTGCAACTTCCTGGATTCAAAGATGGGGGTGTGGCTCGAGGGATCATCGCATCTTGATCCATCTGTAGAAACAATCAGAGGACTGATTAAGATGTGACAGGAGAGAAGGTTTTTTTGTGTCAGATATTGTGTAGACACTCACCTTAGTCATACCCTTGGCAATCAGGGCTAATTCGGTGGGCTGGTACACACAACTTCGTAGCTGACCATTATAAGCACCGTATGGAGACACTGGCTTTTTGGGTACTGGAAAAAAAGAAAGGCAGAGGTCCAGGTCCATCACTTTTTTTGTTTTAGTATTAGACTTCACACAAGTTCAACCTTAAAACAGCTATAAAAAAACAGAAAGGAAGCACCTTTAAGACATCTGCCATTGTTTAAAGAGGACAAGTGGACAGCAGTCTCTGTAGCAACAGACATTTACTCAAACTGAACAGTTAAGTGAATCAATATTTGCTGCATCTGTCAGGATAAATGAGAAACCTTCGCATGAGTTGGACTTTAAAAGCACACTGCAGTACATCCTATTTTAAATATGTGTCAGTGTCATACTCGGGCACTGCATTGTCCATATATATTTTTTACCAACATGACAACCAAACATTTCACTGTTTTTCTCTTCCCAATTAGTTTCTGTTTGTCACCAGGGTCACGCACTGCAAACATAGTGTATAAACCAGATACTCGCCTAAGCGTTGTCCAGCATCCACTGATGATAGTACTATTAGTTGGCTGATGTCAGACACAACTCTACGAATGCTGTTTACAAGTAAATAAATTACATTATTTAAAATATGTGTAACTGTGATGTGTTGTTTCCAAGTAAGTGCCTGCTGTAACTGCCTCATAATATTGGCCAAGGACACAACCTTCAGTAAGTAGATCAGATTTGTGACCTAAAAAAATAAAAGGTATGACCCCTGAATGGCACACATCTAACTTAATCCTATAAGTAGATTCCTATGGGTGCAGCCAGACATTAATACTTGTGGACCAAAAGGCAATTCATTGTAGGCGGGCTTAATGTCTCAGGCAGGTAAGCATGAAAGAGAATGTGTGTGTCACAGTACAGCTTATCTTGTGTGCTTAATTGTTTCCAGAGGGGAATGGGCATCCTGCAGAACATTTTTGCATGGCAGGCGCCAACACATTGAGCAGGTAGTAGTAGTACACAGAGCAAAAAGTATTCCCTCTCACTCTCCTTAGATGCTTAACAGTGGATGCTGTTTAAACTTATGTTCAATCACAGTTCCCCCGCTCAGCTTCACAGAGATTGAGCAGTTTTGAATAGGAGGAAGTCCAAACAAAAAAACATTTGTTTTTCACATCAGTGGCATCATTGTTTTTTTTCTGTTGATCAATGTTG